GGGTTTGGGGGTTGGAGGTTTGAAGTTTGTGGTTTAGGGGTTGGAGGTTTGATGTTTGTGGGTTGGGGTTTAGGGTTTAGGTTTGGGGTTTAGGGTTTAGGTTTTAGAGTTTAGGATTTAGGGTTTAGGGTTTAGAGTTTAGGGTTTAGGGCTTAGACGACTACATTACGACTAATAAATCATTCGAATCTAAATAGTCGTAACATTACGACTACGTTACTACTAATTGTTGTAACATAGTCGTAAAGTTTCGACCCTATTTGGTCGTAATATACAGATGGAAACACATTAGTCGTAATGTTGACGTAATACGTAGTCGTAATGTAGACGTAATACGTGTTGGTGGTCCATTAGTCGTGATATTACGACTATTTTATGACTATTAGTCGTAATATGGTCGTAGAGTTACGACTAATGTACGACCAAGTGCAAAACTGTATATATATAGGGACCTCTCGGAAGCATTTCAGTTGCTCATTCCCTTCTCTCTAACAGCTACTCAACATCTCTCTAGGTAATTTTTTTTAGGTGGTTAGTTAGGTAATTAGATTAGGTTTGGAATTAGATATATTTAAATTGTTTAATTTAACCCGTTTATGTTTTTTATAAATTTTAGATAGATATTGCGCTATGTCTGGTAGAAAGAGAATCCGGAACCTCACGGCTAGAAACTCCTACAGGAGTACTTTTCTCGGTCAATCATCAAACGACCCTAATGTTTCTACCTCGGCTGGCACATCATACGGCGGCACCTCATCCGGCCCTGACCCGGTTCCGGAGACCCAACCGCACATACTACTCAGGAGCAGTATGTCCCTCCGTATTATCCGCGCATTGAGGATGCTACGGATTTCTTCACTTATGTGCCGGAACCTGAGTATGTCCCTCCGCCTCCCCAGAACCCGCAACAAAATCCTGATCCGGCTCCCGGTCTTCATCCAGATTTGATGGTGCCGCCAAATGCACCATATGCGAGATATACGAGAAGGTTTACGAATTGTCGATCCGGATCGACGCCCCGACACGTTTTGGTAATTATTCTAAATTATTTAATTAAAGTTTAAATTTTAAAAAATTATTTAATATTAATATATATTAATATAAATATATAAATTCTTTCAAATTTTGTAGGTTTTTGACGGACAATGTTTTAAAACAGAGCGTTGGGGATATCATTCGGGCAAATTTTCGGCATGCCCACTCTACCTGGACTCTTACACCGGACCACGTTCGCATTACGTGGTTCAAGTGTTTCGCGGTTAGTTTTCTTTATTTTTTAAAAAAAAAATTAATTCATGCATCGATAGTATATTAAAGTACTAATGTTTTTTTAATTTTTCATAATTTTTTTGTAGCAAAAATGGAATTGGTCCATTGGTGTCAACGAGGACGTCAAATCTGGGTTCTACAAAAAGGCGATGCAGCGCCTTAAGAACATTGTTGGAGATTGGAAGGACGACTGGAGGCTAAGGCAGGATGACGCAAAACCAACATACCTCAGCAATGACGTTTGGGTTGGTTTGGTGGCTTTTTGGATGAAGCCTGAGTCAAGGGCGAAGTCTACCAAGTAATATGCGGTCCGGTTGACCAAGGATGCTCAAGTTAACCCGCCAGTTCCTCATACTTCCGGGCAGACCCCACATGCTGGGAGGGCACTTGTAATTATAAGTGTTTGAATATTCTTGATTTTATTATTATTTTTAACGCAAAATTTAAATTAATTTTTTTTTATATAGGCCGCCAAAGAAGGAGCGCCACCATCTCTTGCCCGGCTATACAAGATTACCCACCAGCGTTCTGATGGGACTTTTGTGCATCCTCAAGCAGAGAAGATCTACAACGAGGTAGAGGCTCGGATCGAAGAGGTCCAGACTCAGATGTCGCAACAAAATCCGGATACTCCACCGGTCTAGCTTTCCACCATCGACCAAGACAAGATTTTTGAGCAGGTAAATTATTTTTATTTTTAACTTTATTAACATTTTTAATTTTTTATTAAATTTTCACATTTTTACTTAATTATATAAATATAATTAGTAAATAAAATTTGATCTTTTGTAGGTTGCTCCGAAGAAAAGGGGACGTATTGTTGGGATCGGGACTGTGAACGATGTCCCGAGGGCGAGGGCCGAACATGCAGCAAGAATAGAAGAAGATTCCTCTCTCCGACGGGAACTAGCAGCTGCCAACAAAGTCATAGACGAGTATAAAAACAAGTTCAAGGCTATGGCGAATATGTTCGATCTTATGATGAAGACCTCGAACCCAAACCCGAAGGTTGCAAATGCATGGCAAGCTTTACGTCCGAGCTTTAACCCCGACCCCACTCTGGAAGAGCAAGTGGATATTGAGCGACGTGCGGCGCAACACACTTCCGAGTTCTTCCAAGACATGAACCTTAACAAAACACCTTAGTGTTTCCGGTTTTTTGTATGAATACTTTATATATTATTTTAATCAAATATAATTTTATATATATTTTTTAAAAAAACAATTATTAAAAAAAATCAAATAAAAAATCGTTTTATTTAAAAATAAAATCAACATTGGTCGTAAATTAGTCTTTAATTTACGACCAGTGGACAACAACGGTCGAAGTTACTTAGTTGTAATATTACGACTACGTAACTACCAAAGTTTATGTTTGCTTTACGACTACAATTATTACGACTCATTAACTACTAATTATATTACGACGAATTAACTACGAAACGTCTTACGACTAAGTTACGACTACAAATGTCACCTCAACCTTACGATTAAAGAGTTTGTCGTAATATTACGACTAGGTTACGACTATGGCGTGTGGTCGTAATATTACGACTACGTTACGACTAATTGTGCATTACGACTAGTGAATAACGACCAATGGGTTTTTGATGTTAATTGGTCGTAAAAAACATATTCCGATCAATTAACAACCAATACTGTAGTCGTTAGACACCTATTTTCTTGTAGTGTATAACCAAATAAAAGTATTTTGTATAACTAGTTCAAGATAATTCAAATGTTAAGATAAAACGTATTTTTGATTTATGTAGTTTAAAAGTTTCAAATAAAATATGTACTTTTAATAGTTCTGTTTTTGTCTATTTTTTACAATAATAATTTTAATAGTTAATTTTAGGTAATCCGATGGTTCTTTATAATAACAGATAAATATTAAAATGAATAACATTTTCGAATTGCTCACAATTGAATCCTTACGTTTATAATATGTAAGGTGATATTTGACAAATCAGAACAAAAAGAATATAATAATATCAAATAAAATAATATTAAAAACTATAGTTTTATAGTTTTGAATTATATCTTTCAAGTTTAAACTTTTTAATTTTTAAAAAATTCTTTTTTACAAATTTTCTATTGAAATTCTAAAATGCATATGAAACTACTTTTAAAATTTTATATATTTTTTTCTCTTTTAAAAAATTAAATCTTATCCCTAAAATATTACCTCTTTAACTCTAACAATAAATCTAAATTAATTAACCTTATGGATATACATGTATATTATTATTAATAAAAAAATTGGTATATTGTTTTTTTGGTAGAAAATACTAAAATTAAATTTTGGAGAATTAGTCAAATATCCATATATAGAGTCGTTATTAGGTAAATAACCATGATTTGATATAAAGGTAATTTTCTTTAAAATATTACTTTAGGTTGGACTTTGATAATCTTGTGAATTTTTCTTTATTTCCACACTTTTTTTCCTTATCTGACATTTTCTTTTTTTCCTAACATTCTTTTATTCCTCTATAATTATGTCTCTCCTAATAACACACTCTTTCTTTTTATTCCCACTTTTTTACTTATATAATTTTTTTCTACAATTTCAATACGTAAAAACACTTTATTCTCTCTTTTTTCTTCATAATATAGTATTGATTTTTAAATTTATTCATTTTGATAGAGAAATGAAACTTCAACAATACTTATTTGTTAAACATATAGTACCTAATGCATGTATTGACATCTACAAATTTATTAACAACTAACACTTATGATACATGTATTTGTTAACAGCTAATACATCAACGTTTACAAAATTTGTTAATAGTTAATGTTTCTGTTAATACATCTTGTACATATATCTGTTAGCAGCTAACACAGCTGTGAACATTTAAAAAAAATATTTAAGTGATACATAAAATATTACTAATCGACAAAAATAATGATTAAGTACAAAATATTATATACAGAAAATAATAATTCGAAACTCCAAATTAAAAAAAATATTTCATTAGGGGAAAAAAGTAGAGGAGAGAAGAACAAAAATATAAAAGAGATGATAAGACAGTTTGAGGATGAAAAAAAAAACTAGAATGATTGTGAGAAAAGTGTGAGAAGAGATAGAATGACAGGAGAGAAAGTGAGAATAACAGATTGATATGCATAGAGTATAGAAGGAAAAAGAATAAGGTACATTTTAATCTTTATTTTAAGAGTTACATCATGTGTAATATGAAAATTAGAGGAGCTATTTAAGATGCACCAGCTAATAATTTCATTAAATTTCCTATGGAATTTCTTAAAATATATTGTGTCTAGATATAAATCCCCATATTCACCCCTAAGATTTTTATTTACTTATTTTTTAACTATATGACGCCATAAGAAGAATTACTGAGTTTAATTTAGAAATCCAATTGACTCATTAACAGCTTAAAAGCAATTAAGAAAGAGAAAAATAATCTATTGACAAAAAACAAAAAAGAGAAAAATAATATTTTTTATAGAAACTATAGAGCGGTTAGTACGGTACTTGTGTATGAGCGACCACATAGTATGACATCTTCTCTTCACCAAGTAAGTGAATACGGAAGCAGTAGATCTAACCTTGCATCCGCCCACGCGCGGTCGGAAATTGGATAGGAAAATCCGACGGCTCTAGACGCCTTTAAAATCTAGTCAAATCGATCTGAGATTAGATCTAGACACCGTCGGTGCACAAAAGTTAGTAGGACCTACACAACTGTCAAGCACTGACTATATTCTGCTGAGTTTAACTGATTTACTTTCTAGTGAACCTCATCACTTCCCAAATATCTATGCCTCTATACTATTTTGTCATAAATCCACGTATTCACATCACACCTCACAAAATGGATTATTAGCTAAACAGTAAACAAAGAAAATGAATAACAGAAAGTTGATAAAGTAATAGGATACGTCATTAAAAAATAATTAAGGACTAGAGGTCCAAAGTTCGTTCATATGAAAACTACAGTCTGGATGCCATTTAAACTTGTTTAACTATTTACATCCTGTGGTTACAATTAACAGATCGACTGAATTAGTTACAGGTAAAAATGAAGCAATTTATATAACTGCGAGAGCTGCTTTTCTCTCTATATTACTAAAATAACAATATGACGTAAATAAATGAAAAACTTTTTATATGGCAAAACATTAATGGAATAAATACGAAAATCATACCAGAAACGCAAAACAAAATGCTATACACCCACACAAGTACAAGAAAACACGAGTCCTTTTTACCGTGCTGGAGGAAACTACCTCACCCGGAGGCGCTACTAATCGCGACGGCTGATCGTCGGAACCCTCCGGAGACAAAGAAACTTCTCGTGGAGGAGTTGTTGTGGCTGGAGTACTCACGGCTTGGCCCGATTTTGGAAACAGCTCTTTAGGCAAAAGCACTTTGGATACTCCAAAAACAGAAACCGGGTTCTGATCAAAAGCCGTTTGAGTCACGATAGCTAAAACCAAACCCGAATTGATGGTAACGATGGATCCATTAACCCGGGAGATGTTGAGAGTGTAAGAACCGGCTCCCATTAGCTCAGTAGCTAATGTCGGGTTAACCGGATTGGTTATCGATTCGAGAGAACCGAGTGTGTAATACGAATTGAGGACGTGGAATTTGAGCACGACGGCTTTCTTATCTGCCGGCAACGACTGGAGGTTCTCGTTCTCGGGGAGATCGGAGAAAGCGGCATCGGTGGGGACAAAGACGGTGATTCCGGCGCCATGATCGTCGTTTTCTAATTCAGTTATGACTCCGGAAGCTACGAGGAGGGAGAGAGCGACGTTGAAGTTATGACCGTTGATTAAAATCTGTGTCAAATTGATTCCCGCCGGAGGAGGAGACGTTCCCGATGTCGGCGGAATGAGAGTCTCCGAGGCGGTGAGATCGATTCCGGCGGGGACGAGGAAGGAGTCTACGGAGAGAACAGTTATGTTTGGAGGTTTGGTTTCGAGGAGCTTTAAAACAGTGACTGACTTTGATGAGCTTGGGGATCCGATGGTGACGGAGCCAGAAGCCGGGTCACGTGTGACATTAACGGATCCGGATCCGGTGTATACATGGCCGGAGGCTTCGTAAAGGGTAGTGACGGCGGATCCAGAGGGTGAGATACGACGGAGATCAGAATCGGAGAGGAACTGGAGCAAGACATTGAAACGGAGGAGATCTGCGAGTTTGGGAGGAGATAAGCGGCGCGTGAAGTCGAAGGAGGCGGTGGAGAAGTGAGAATTGGGAACGGCGAGGAGAGTGAGTGAGTTTCTGCCGGAGAGTTCGGAGGCGATGCCGGAGGAGACAAGGAGGTTGGAGAAGGAAGATAGATTGGGGAAAGAGGATAGGACGGTGGTGACGTTGATTGCGGCGGCGGTGGTGGAGAGTAGGAATAGTAAATAGACGGATGCAGGAGAGGCGAGACGGGAAATGAAATTCACGGTCGCCATTATTTGTTGAGATAGCTAACGAGAGTGGTGAAGGGGAGGAAGTGGATAGAGAGAGAGAGAGAGTGAAGTGTTGATGTGGTCACTAGATGTTGTTCACTGGCTATAGCCGGTAAGAACCGGTAGGCCCGGTATTCGATGAGCTCAATGGTATTAATGGAAGCAACAAAAAGAAGCCGTGGTGGTTCTTTGTATATTTGTGATCCGCCACACCAAGTAAGACCCCATGTTTATTGTAAGGTTTTTAAGTGAAGTTTTAGTTTCGATTAAGATATTTAACTAAGAAAAATTAAGAATTGGTTTTTACTATATAAGAATTGATTCTTAGCAAAAAAATGTAAAAGAAAAAACAAAAAAAATGTTAAATCATAAGTTTAAACCCACATTCTAAGAGCATGTTCAATGGGAAAACCCCTAATTGGGTTTTTAATAATTTTTAATAGTAAATTTAAATTAAAAACTTTTATTAAGAAACCAGAATTTTTAAGAATTATTTACACTCTAAAACAGTTTTCATGTTTTTATTACATGCTAAGATAGTTTCCATTTTTTGGATAGTTGTTAGTGGTAAAAATATATAATTATGCTTAACTAAATAATTCATTCTTTCAATAATAATTAAGGTCTCTTTTCTGGCTAGATTCATGTTGTTGTACGTGACCGGACGTGACATGAAACCAACTCATTAAAGAAAAAATTATATTACAAGAAAGTTTTAAGTTTTAAATATCATCATAAGGCAGTTTATTCTCCTCATACATTTTTTCTTCTTCCAATACACGGTTCACTCTTCCCAATTCATGAAGCATTTGCAATCTAACTAAAGTCTAACTAAATAATAAAATATTAATTTTTATATTATTTTGTGTTTTCTATCTCTCTTCTTCGTCTTCTTCCTTTTAAAATTTCTATTTTTCTCTAAGTTAAAATCTAATTCTTCAGATTGTTTTTTCAAAAGAACTTACATATAATTATTGTCTATGTTTCTTAATCTATCTTTTAAGATATATCTTTGTAATAATGTAATAGTGACATATATAATAACGATATCAATGGCATATATGTAATCAATTTTGGCGTAGCGACGGTGGAGACGTAGACGACGGTAGAGACGATGCAGAAGATCCATCATCTAACGGTGGAAATACAGTTAACATCACAACCTTCTTCGTGGGTGGAATTATGCTATGTTGTCTTTCATCTGTCTCTTCCACTGCTCTCTGTCATCTCCACCATTGTTCTTCGTCGTCTCAACAACCGTTTTTCATCGTCTCAACCATTTTTCTCTAGCATTTTAAGAAGTTTATCACATTAACTTTGATTCTTTGTTTCAGTTTGTATTTACATTTCTTGTCTCTTCTCAAGTTTAAGATTGATTTGTTTTAAGACTCCTTCATGAGTCAGAAACTTGAGGTGTGTTGTTTTGTGTGTTATTGCATTATGATTTATTACATAAAGCTAGAATGTATGTGTTAGGAAGAATTCATGATGGTGGACAATAGGTAAGGAAGAAAGGCTAAATGTCTTTTGTACATGTGGATATGTAAATCGATAGTTTTATACGTTGTACACGTGGAAAAATATGCAACATAGTACACATGTACACACCTATTTGTGTACACCACCACATAGGTCATAGAATTTATTGAGTCGGGTTGAATAGGAGACCCACGGTGGTGAATTGTTATTTGATGGTGGATCACTTTGGAATGAGCCGGTGATGGCGAGGGGTTTCACTTGTTTTCTTATCAAATTGTTTCTTATATAGGTGGTATATTGATTTAATAATAAAGAATATACACTTGTGAAGATGTACACGTTTAGCATTAGTCATGTACACAATAATTATTGGAATATGTACACATTTTGTGTACACACGGTTACTACCTATCTGAAAATATTTAATATCTGATTAATCTCTTTCAACTTCCAGATTTCATAAAACTTCAATAATACTACATTTAGGTGATTTTTGTTGGAGATGCCAACATATATATGATAAATGTATTTTCATATGGCTATTGTATGGCATATGTACATTGTGCATATTGAAAATTGTATCATGTGTCATTGTGTTTGGTTTTTATTTGAAACTCGATTATGAAACTGGAGATATATACCTGCTTTTCATTTCATATAATCTCCAATGTATATTAGAATATTGTACACCTAGAAAACCAAAACTATGTACACTACTCATTTAACACATGTATATTGGATTAGTGTACACATGGATAACGATACCTATGTGTACCACTCATTTATACAAAATTATGAAACAAAAGATATCTAACTGCTTTCATTTTATAACGAGACCTATGTATATAACTCATTTATATAAATTTATGAAACAAAAGATATGAAACTGGAGATGTATACTTGCTTTTCATTTTATATAATCTCGCATGTACATTAGAATATTGTACATCTGGATAACAAAACCACATTACTCAATTAACCAATGTACATTGGATTAGTGTACACATGGATAACAAGACATATGTATACTATTCATTTATACAAATTTAGGAAACAGAAGATATATAATTGTTTTCATTTTATATAATCTCCAATGTACGTCAGGATTGTGTACACGTGAATAACGAAATTTATATACACCACTCATTTATATATATCAATGTATATTAGGATAGTGTACACATGGATAATGAGACCTACGTATACTACTCATTTATACAAATTTACAATGTACATGATGATATTGTACACATGCTATGGTTTGATCATGTACACGTGTATACATGTACACATGTACAACATAATTATTACTGTACACATGGATAACATATTAGGTGGATATCTTTTTTTAAAAGATTGCAAAAATGATTTTTCAAATGTACATAGCTTTTAGGCAACTATGGCATTTCATTTCGGTAACATGTCATCCCTTGTTTCTGGTTCCACGATGATTATGATTTTGAAGAGATACTTATGGTACTTGTGAGGAGCAAGACCACATGAAATTTTAACATGTTCTCATAAACAAAAAAAATCATTTGTTACATTTGCATGTACAAATCATCACGATAAACACATATATTTCATTGTACACGTGTACAATTGTTTCACAAAAAAATTATGTGTAATATAGGTGATGTGCAATATCTCAAAAGAGGCAGTTCTCAGCTAGAACATGCTTAAAAGTGAATAACTATGAAATGTGTAAATGTAAATATTTTTGGACCAGCATACATATAAATGTTTGTAATCTAGTGAACATGTGGATACATATGGCTGGACTAATTAGTCTCAAAACAGGCATTTCTCAGCTAGATCATGTTTAAAAGTGAACAACTATGAAATGTGTAAATGTAAATAGTTTTGAATCAACATACATATGAATGTTTGTAATCTAGTGAACATGTGGGTTTTTCGGCTAGATGTACATATGGACAATGCAGCTTATTTGTAATCTAGTGAACATGTGGGTTTTTCGGCTACGTGTACATATGGATAATGCAGCTCGGTGTACATAAGGATAAGCAATATATGTTCATGATTTAAGTTCTGGTAAACCTCTCAAATATTCAAAAATCTTACAACTAAACAAAGAGCCTGTTTCCCAACTTTGATTCAGTGTAGCATACATGAAAATGATTACCCGTTAAGTAAATGAGTGTGAGAGACAAAAGTATATAGTATAGACCCCTGAGGATGTAACAATCTGTCTGCATCTCACTCCATTGATGAATACATATGTAAACTGGTCCAATTCGGGTGAAAGGCACACAACCTCTTCGCATGGCCCTTATGCATTACCGCCTCCAGTCTCCTACAACAACAAATACAACATTTGTACATGTCAATCTAGTAAACTAGGATTGTGTACATACCACATATATTTTCTAAAGTTGTTCGTATACTCGTTTATACATATGAATACACATTTCAAATTTTATATATTTACTCGTGTACACATGTACATAGTCCTTGTGTGTTCATATGTACACACGTGTAGATGTACACCTAGCACAGTCTTGTCAAAACACCAAAACTAGCTACAAGTTTAGACTTTTCCTCCATTAATATTTTATTATCAATGAAATCCCGAATCCGAAACCTTTATCACAAAATCAAAATCCCTGAATTGAAACCATAATCCATAAACTTTGAAATGTATATCCTCATATCAAGGGTCTTGGATAAAATCTCAAATTACACCCCTAATTTCAAAATCGAAATCTCAAAATCGAAATCTCAAATCCAAATCCCTAATCCCAAAATTGAAATCTCAGAATCGAAACCCTAATCCCCAAAAAAGTTTTACCTTTCGCTCTGCCTTCTGAAACTCTTATCTTTTGCGACGACGTCATCTTCTCTGTCCGTCGGAAATCTCGTTTGCCAGAAATCTTGTTCGTCGCTCTGTCGGAAGTCGTGGTCATCGTCTTCTCCTATGCAAAGGTTTTTTTAAAAAAATAATATCAAAAGCCTAACCAGCCTAACTAGAAAGAAAAAGTCTAATTACCCAAATACACACGTTTAGTTTTACTTTATAGAGGATAATTGAGTCTTCAACCATTATAAAGTACCTTAGTAGCGGATTGTGTTCTCCCATGTAATAAAAACATGAAAAGTGACCTGCAATGAAAATAACTCCTCATTAAAATCTAACTGATCTCATGTCTCGTGTCCGATCTCTTCTCTACTCTTTTTTTCTTTTTTGGCAATAAACAAGAAATTTATCTTGTTCTCTTCAATATTTAAATTTTCTATCTGAAATCACATTTTATATTTGTGAAAAGAGACAACTATCACAAATGGAGGGACAAATATTCCCAATGGCCAAAGTTGAGATTTCTTCAAAATCTCGTTCCGAAATTATTACGGCGTTTTGGTTATAATTGGTTACCACTATAAACATATAAAAAATTTATTGTTTTTGTTTGTCTATTGGGTATAATCAACTAATCTATTCAAATTTTATGAGTTTTGGAGATAAAATCACCAAAAAATGAAAATTATATGAAGAAAATCAACAGCAGCTCCAAGATGTTGTTGCAGAAATGGTTGAAAGCCCTAATATGAAAATGATGATTTAATTACAAAATTACCACTTATTTAAAAATTTGAGCATTTGTACATCATATTTGTGTACATGAGTAAAATGAGTGAAGTGTGTACACAACGTCACTGTATTGTTTCAATATATTTTCAAAAAGAATTATACAGGAGGAGCAATGTCGACAAAGAACTCTAATACTTGATGTATGGAACATATGGAAACACAAAAAAGAGAAAATTCTCATTTACACTGTTTAAATATTGTTTAAATATTGTTTGCAATGCATTAACATTGGTGTGAATTACAGACATTACAGAGGTTTGGTTTTTTATGTGAAAAACAAAAATATGTTTAGAAAATGTGTACACAATCATATAGGTGTACAATAAAAATTAGGTGTACACATGTACTTTAAGAATATAATGTACACATGTACTTTAAGAATATAATGTACAAATTGTTCAAGAAAAATGGATCAGTTGGCTACTCATTATTTTTTTGTACTTACACTGTGTCGTTTTAGCTAACTAATTTAAAAAATTGTTAAAGTATATGAATTATTTTTCCAGTAAAATTGCACAACTGTGAACAACAAACATAGTGTATGAATTTATTTTCTATTATTAATAGTTAACAATTTATAACGTTTGTGTACATGTGGACAACAAACAAGCATGTGTACACAAAACAATTATAGTGTCCATGTGTACAATAAATGTGATAGCATACTTGTGTACATGTTCGTTGCTTGACAAAATTCATTACATTTCATCAACATAAGGAGATAAGACACATAAGAGACGAGAATTGTAGATGTTATCATAATTTACAATACAACAATTTCTGCCAAGAAGTTTGTGGAATCCTGGTGCTTTAGCTAGTGACACAGCAAATTCGATGGGGGCAAAATCAGAACATAAAAACCCAGAAAATGTAAGTTAAATCATAGCCAGTTTCGTTGGAATCATAAAAACAGCCAAATACACAAACCGAGTTCGCCGGAGTTATCCATCGATCACAGGAACAATGGTTAAATTTATGGCGAAAAAATATTTATACAGAAAAGATGAAAGAAAAATTTAAGAGACAAAAAGAAGAGGAGAAAATATTGATTTGTGGCCACGTGAATTAATATTTGTATTTTAAGTAGGTTTCAGTTAAAGAAAGAGATAAGAAAAGAGAAAGAGAAAAAGAAAAGGGTAGCAATGGATTTTTACATCTTGACACTTGGAGAGATGGTGTTAAAATAAGAGAAAAAGTGTGTTGATAATGAAAACTGTCTTATAGTGAAATAATAAACTTAAAATTGACTTTGAGTGTAATATTTTCGATTTTTAATGCTCCATTAGTAAAATTCTATTAAGGATTCTTAAAAAAATCATTAGATTTGTTTTTGTTATCTAATTGAATACATTACACATGCTTTTTCCAACTTCCTTTGCTGAAGAAATACACAAAGAAAAAGACTGACGAGGAAGTATCTCGTAATACCTTCATTACTGCAACATTAGTGCAATTCCTTATACTTTCACTTGTTCCACAGTGGCCTGAGCAGCTTCAGCTCTGTCTGTGTTTAGAATTGACTGTTTCAAAGCTATCTCCAATGGACTCGTCTCCCCATCACAAAAATCTTCATCAGCTTTGGAACAAACCCTTTGAACAAACACGTTGAGCATATGGGCAACCGTAGCTTGTGTACAATCTTTTAACAAAACAATTATAAGATCAGAAGCAACTATAGAATGACATCGAGAAAGAAATAAAAGAAGGAGGAGATGAAGAACCTTGTGGTTCCATCAAACATAGCAGGTGGATCGATTGTAGCATCAAGCAAAGCGGGATGATCCTTTAATACACTTGTCTCATAAAGTAACCAACATATGAAATCATCAAAACACACACAGAATCCTGAAAAAAAGTCTGAGAAATTAAGAGAAGAAGAATCATACCAAGGAGAAGTCATGGACGAAATTTATTACGGAGGAGCTCTCTAAGTCTACACAACTTCAAGAATCTGATCATGTACCAAAAAAGTAACCTAAAAGAACAGATCCAAAACTCTCCTTCTCTTAAATCAATCACCAAAGTTTTGAGTTTTAATACGAAAAGGGCGAATTGGACACTCATGGGAACAGAGTTATTAACGCCGAGAGGAGCTGCGAAGACGGCATAGGCAGAGACTCGATTAAAGAGAGGATGAAGCGAGAAAGATGAAGGAAATCATGTACAGAGTGATGTGTATGTAGTGGAAGTCTAGTTATGGGAAGAGAAATGGAGAGAGATCGAACCCATGATGTCATCGAGAATGAGAGAAATTGCAGTTTTGTGGAGGAGAGGAGTCAGCGAAAGAGAGAAAGAAAAGAAGAAAGAGACGATAAAGAGCCGTGTCTTTGTTCTCTTAATTAAGTTGTGCCTTATGTTTATGTCTTTTTTTTTTAATTTTCTAATTAAGTTAAGCAACACTCTTAAGAGCTTGTGTTGAACATGTTCTAAACTCTCAATAAACATGCCCTAAAGCAGCCATGATTTCTATAATTTCAGTCTACTTTAAAATAAATTTAATTAAGACCCTCTAAATACTAATAGCGTGTTATTGGATACTGTATTTTAATGGAATTGAGTGTAATTTAATTCCCAAATGAAATCCCATGTTATTGAATTAAACATTTAGGCTTTAACTGGTAACCATCAAAGTAATATAAGGAATAAGAAATAAAGGAATGAAAAGGAAAAAAATAAAAGGAAAATCTATTCCCTTTCTAATTTGACAAGGAATAATTGTAGTCTTTTATTCCTTAAATCTTAAAGAATGTTAAGGAATTATAAGTAACAAATATTCCTTGTAAATGGTGTAAATTGTATGAAATAGTAAGGAACTGATTATTCTCACTCATTCCTTTGGTCACCATTTGGAGCCTTAGTAGATGGAATTCTGAATCCATTAAAATCACTGTCATTCAATTTTTTTTGATATTTTATTGGAATTCAATTACATTGGATTTTAATGTACTTTTGTATTCAAATCAAGTGAAAAACAAAGACAGAGTTTTCATCTGTTTTCTCGAAGGATTTGAAATATATATCTTCTCTTTTTTTCATCTCTCTTATCACTTAAAAATCTCAAAATTGATAAAACAAAAAACAAGATGAAACTTATATATTAGTTCTTCGTAAAAAAGGCAACAAAAGTGATTCCAGAAGTCTTTGTGTTAGTTCTCTTTTTATTAGATTCTCTATCTAATAATATAAAATTGTTCTTTCTTTTTAGAGAGTGTCACATTAGTAACTCACGTATTCTCTACATTCAAATCGCATTATTTTATAACGTTATAACACAATCAATTCACAAATGCTTTTATTGGCTATCATCTAGACTTGGCAAATTAATTTTTATGGGTTCTGCATTGTTTTTGGTCCATTATAGGAGACTTCACTATCTCTGGTAAACTAATTCACTGAAGTCTTTATCAATGATTCTCTTCTTCGCAATCATCAACCATTGTCGATCTGTCCTTTAGTATTTCCTCATTTACTGCTTTCACCAAAAGCTTTAACTATAAGAAGCTATGCTTGGCCCGTGAAATGTATAAGTTCTTTCTTATCCTTCTAGACGTAAAGGTAATTTCGGCTTCATTATGTAGTTTTTTATTTTTATTTTTATTTTTATCGAGGTCAAGCATAGCTTTACTTATGTTTTGATTATCAAAATTATCGGGTCTAGCGTTGATCATGTTTTGATATCAAAACTTTTAACCCTAATAATCCGTTCAACGAAGACCAATTTGTTCATGTTCTTTATCAAAATTATAAATTATCCCCATAAATTTTTGTATCTTAAATCATGCCAGCTTGCAGGGAGAAGCAAGCTTGAAGTTCCTTAAAGTGTCTATGACTGTGGAGGTTTGTCTCGCTATCCTACGCCGCAAGGTCCAGCATATCTGAGAAGAAGTTTAAACTGAATAAGCATTTGAACAGACTGAGCAAACCTGCTATCAAGGGTATTTTGGTGAGATAAATCTACTATTTTCTTCTTTTTGAGTATTTTCTACTTGGGCTAATTTTGGTAAGTACCATAATCATGTTTCTATTTATTTAACCTTTCGATTTTGTTTATTTTTGTTCTAATTGAACAATAAGTTATAATTGAGTCGATTTTTTATTTAAAAAACTGTTTATCTAACGAAAGTTTAAAACTTTTGAATGTGATTAACAAACCATTGAAGGAGATGTAATTGCATGTGTTCCTATCACAAATCAACCAGCTTTTGATCATCCTTTACTCATAGATCACAAGATTCAGGTACGTAGATACAACGTTTACTCAAATTTTATTTGGGTGTTCTGTTTTTTGTTTTAAGTGCTGATGTTTAGTTTACTTGCACTTCTTAGATGAAGCATAATCATCCTGAGGGGCTCTTTGATAACAACAAAGTGTCTTTACGCCGTTAGAAATAGAGGGATATATATATCCCTCAGTTATGGCATGGATATGATAAATGTGTCGAAACAACCTGTAACGCCCCGACCGCCCACGGCTAATGGGCCACCCACGCCCGCTCTCTCGGCCCGTGGGTTCCATCCCGTTCCAACGGCCGGTCCGTTAATTTTTCCAAGGCTCTAGAGTCATGTTTACTGACCCTGCAATCACCACCCGACCTTTCCCCGTGCTTTGGCCTCACTTACACGGTATCACAAATCACTTTCCGATAGGTCACCCATCCTTTGACTACTCCAGCTCAAGCACGCTTAACTCTGGAGTTCTCTCTGGATGTGCTCCCGAAAAGGTAAGTGCACTTTGGTGACATAGGTAACCAAATCAATTCTCTTAAGCCTTTTCCAAATACCAAAAACCGGGATGTTACACAACCATTCCCATGAAGAGGACAAAGGAATATGATGTCTTGAGGGAAAGTTCATTCAATGGATATGGTAAGAAGAAGCATAGAACTTCCCTGTTTCCTAATTCTGAAGAATCTGACCTCATGAACCAAAGTGGTCATCAGATGAGCAAAGTTTTTCTTTTGTGTTGGTTTCTTGATCTGAGATGTGTTATTTGTTTTGGTTTGTTGAACCGCAGCATGCCCTATATTATGTTGAAGGGGATAACTATTATGGAGCTAAAGCAACTATAAATATGTTGGAGCCAAAGATACAGCAGCAACACAAGTTTACCTTCTCGCAGCTATGGCTTCTCAGAGACTTATTCAGACCTTAACATCATATAAGCTGGTTGGCAGGTACACTCAGTTAACTTCTAGGGAATGTGAATGTGTGATTTTTGATTCTAATGTTCTGTATAATGATTGAGTGTGTGCTTTATTACACGTTAGCCGGATTTATATGGTGACAATAATGCAAGACTCTTCACTTATTGGCCTGCTGGTTCGTGAGGCTATTGTATAATCAAATTCTTATGTTCATGTGCTTTGGTTCCATATAAGCTAACTGAATGTACCTGCCAACCATCGTTTAATTAGCTTTATTACTAGACGGTTCATAGGGATTCTTTCAAGTCTTATTTCTCTACGCAAACACATTATTTATTGTTGGATATTGTTAGCTCTATGTTTCTCACATGTGCAACTACAAAGTGCTTTTTAACCTCCACATTGAAGTGTCATTACATGTTATATACGGGCTCATCTCATATAATTTGCTTATGGATCCTCACAACAGAGGTCCAAGTCTTCATGTCTATTACTAGAATTATTAAGTCATCTTAAAGTTATTATACTCTTCTCTATCCTTTCTAAATCCTAACCATAGTTTAAATTGGCAGTTAATTTAATTATAAACTAGATTTTGACCCGCTCAACCGAGCGGAGTTTAAATTTCATTTATATATATTTGTTTATATTATTATGTGTATATATATTTTTAATATTAATCATATATTTAAATATTTATTAATTTTTCTTTTGTTTTGTCAACCAAATGGTTATTTATTTATGTATATTAATTTTAGATGATATATTGTTGTATATATATAAATTTAAGATATATTAATTTGTATACATGTAATACATAGTATGTTAGCCCGCTTTGACAACATAATATATTATTTTAACATAAATATTTCTATTTATGAAAATAAAATATATTAATATATCATTTTAATTTAGTTTTATCATATTTAGTTCATTATAATAATTCTGTTAATATGATAAATTATGATTATAAGATAAATAAAATATGATAATTGTTTTTATTTTTCATTTTAAACAATAACTAAATATATATTGAGGCATAATAATATTTTTAAACATTAAAAATTTGTAGGTTATATGATAAAATTTATCAATAAGTTAATAAAATTAGATCTTATATATTATCTAATTTTGTAATAATGTTTGTGTGATTTATAAATTAGTATTTTTTTAATTTACTTTTTTGTTTTATTTATAAATTTGAAATATATGTGAAAATTAAATTAACTTGGACCTACATAATAGAGAAAACAAATTTTTGGATACTGTTAGAACTATTTTACATTATTTTTTATTTTTGCTTATAGATTAAAAATGCATAAGATTTTTAATTATTTGATGCTAATTAAAATTTGAAATAACTGATTTTCGAAATATATTTCTAAAAGATTTTGTTAGAATATTTTTCCAAATATTTATTTACATTTCCAATAAAAATAAGGTATGAAAAGATATCATAATTAACATATGTAAAATTTATAAATATGGTCCAAACTAAAAAATCACACATAAATTGAAATGGTGACTTCTGTTTTAATATATAAGATCTTTACTGTAAGTCCATAACCTTAATTCTATATATATACTAGATATGGATCCGTGTGTTGCATGCACAAGTTTTATTTGATGTTTAATTTTTGCGAACACATAAAAAATGAAAATCTTTTTCACATTAGACCATCTTTAATGTATTTTGTTATTTTCATTCTAAAATAAATGAATAAAGATGAGATATGTTCTAATATATTCTTCTATAATGGAAATCTCTAAATATAGATTAAAATAGAGGATTGCTATTTCTTCCTTTATAAATAGAGAAAAAAAATATAAATCTCTATTATATAGAAATAAATAGAGGTGGGTTGGAGCAATTTCACCTCCAAATGAGATCAAAATAACAATGAATTGGAGCTATTAATTCTTGAACTTTTTAGTATATATTAGTCTTAATTTTAGTAATAATAATTTCTTTCTTACAGAAATTTTGATTAATTTATATTTTAATGATTATGGTGTTTTAAATAATATATTAATATTTTTAATCATTTTTCAAAATAATAATAATTGTAGTTAATTGAAATATTTTGAAGTGTGAACTCTCAATATTATTTATCTTGTTAACACAATTAAAAATATTAAAACTACACGACACCAATCAATATGTATTATTGATACTCACCTAAATACCAAATGGAGAATTGCATAAATACACATTCTTGTGTACACTAATTCATATTTACCTTAAGAAATGAGACATTTTAAGAAAATACACTTTTCATTAAAGGATAAAAGACTCTTATACCCTTGTTGTTTATATATATAAAATAAATATTTAGATAAATAAAAACACAAAAAACAAAAACGTTTTTTTTTATTTTTTTCAAATTATACTATTTCGAAATTCAAACCCTAAACCCTAAAAATCAACCCTAAACCCTAAAATATCAATTCTAAACCCTAAACCCTAAATTCTAAACCCTTAACCCTAAACCCTATATTCTAAACCCTATATTCTAAACCCTAAACCTTAAATTTTATACCCTAAACCCTAAATTCTATCCCCTAAATTCTAAACCCTAACACTAAATTATAAACTCTAAACCCTAAATTCTAAACCCTAAACCCTAAATTTGAAATCTTAAACCCTAAATTCTAAACCCTAACCCTAAAATTATAAACCCTAAATTCTAAATCCTAAACCCTAAATTCGAAATCTTAAACCCTAAATTCTAAACCCTAAATTCTTAACCCTAAATCATAAATTCTGAACCCTTAACCCTAAATTCTAAACTATAAACCCTAATCCATCAAAACTTTATTAAAATTGTTAAGTTTAATTAATTAAGGGTGTTATGGTCTTTTGACTATTAAAATTATAAGTGTAATGATGATTAATGTAAAAGTGAAATAGTGTATCATGAATGTGCTAGTTTTAGCAATTTCTCAATATCCAAATATACTGCTAAATAAAACATCAAATATGTTTACTTTTATCATTTATGGTGTGACTATTGTCATTATGTTTTAAAAATCTGAACTATGGAGTTGTAGTGACTCTTGATAGTGTGATGTATAATTGTAAGACTGGACTTGGAAAAAAAATAGAACAACCTTTTAAGCAGGGTCGGCTCAACAATTTTTGAGGTCTCTGGACAAAAAATTTTTTTAGTTATTTGAAAAGAATTAGTTGAGAAATAACTTTGTCCGTGTAACAATTTAAATTATTTCATTATTTGTTTTGGAAAAAATCACAATAAAATTAGCTTTTTAGGTATATAAGAGTAAATATTAGCTAAATATCAAAATTTTGTTTCGTTACTAAAAGAATTTCAAACTAATTATTTTAATATAAAACCAAAACTAAAATTTTGTATCATAAATATTTTTGGGCCCGGGGCGGTCGCACTTACCGCCCCACCATCTAAACCGGCCCTGTTGTTAAGGTTTAACCTTAACTCTTGTTGATAGTCATTGCATAGCAAATTCATATAAGAAATTAATACCATTTCAGTTTGAAATACCATCTTGCATATGTTGGTATGAGACTTATGTTAGGAATAAAAATCTGTTTTTTTCATTTAACTTCTGGTTAGGATTTCTACTTCAGTAATCATGTTGTGTAGGTCAAATTATTAGTAATCATGTTCTGATTAGGATTTCTACTTCATGTCTTTCTCTTTGATTTCAACTCTTTAGTAGCATGACTTACAACATTCCATTTCAAAGTCATTTTCTTTTATTTTAATTATGTAATATCATGATCTTTAGTAGCATAACCAATGCCGATAAGAACTAACACACATAAGTATAATAGTCACATTACCCATTAAACTTACATAAAATAACATTTACAGTAACTAATGTACGACAACATGATAATAATATATTAAAAAAAAAGTCAACAGCACTTTAATGTGAAAATCAGAATGTCACATGTTATTTCCTCTACATGTGATACCTAAAAATAGTAGATCACGCGAAGATGTGAATGAATATGCAGAAAAACTCATTTAATATTATTTTTGTATCTCTTCTTATATTTGCTACCAAAATATGAGAAGTGACAAAACATAAGAAAACTTAATCATACACACACACACACACACACACACATATATATATATATATATATATATATATATGAATAATTGTAGCTCCTTTTGGTTTATAATTTGTAAAAAGAATATCAACTATTTTAATTGGAAAGTGGTTTATTCATAAAACTATTAGAATTAATTATTCCAAAAAAATTTTGATTAGGATTTAAAGAAAGAAAAAAAAAACTTAAAAACTCTTTTAAAATTTTGTTAAGTTTTTTTTTGTGTTAGAAAAGGAAAATTACTATTAAATATTTTCTTTTTTGGTATTAAATAAATTATTTGACTAATATTTTTTTTAAACTTATTTTTTTAAAAACAGAGAAAAATACAACTTAATAATTACGTTTTGTTTAAAAATTTCTCTTATCATCTTATTATATATTTTATTAATCATGAGATATTTTATCACATAAAAAAATTTAGAAGGAAAATTACTATCAAATAATATTTTCCAGTTATCTTTTCTTTAGGATTTTAGAAAAGGAAATCTAGTATTAAATAAATTATTTTACAAATATCTTAGTATTTAGTATTTTAAAAAATAAATTTTCTAAAATCCCTATTAAATAATTTTAAAAATGAATTTTATTTTTTCAAAATAAATAATTTTGAAAATTGTTTATTTCAAAAATTTGTTTTACTATTTTCTTTGTATATATATTTTAATCATGAGATATTTTTTTTGATGAATTTCAGATTTATTGATAATCAACAAAAGAATGGGCATTTACAATGAGTGAAAAAACTTACTAAATCTATCAATCACTGAGGAAAAGCTACTGGTAAAAATTGCTATGTTTGCCAAAAAAAAAAAAAAAAAAAAACCTATCTTATGCTGTTACTTCAAACCATCGCCTCAGCAGTCCCTCCAATTTGCTCCCATACGTATATTTCAAGGATGAAATTCT